AGTTAATGATCTTCTCAGCGAAGCTCGTTCTGCTCGTTAGTTTGTGCTGATGATGCTCGTGATTCATTGAGTAGGATGAGCTCATGAGGGTCATTTCAGGACGCCGGTTCGCAGATTTGAGTCACTTACCTAAACGAGTGTGAACCATCCTGTCAGAGAGATCGGATTTGAGCAAAAAATCAGATTTGAGCAACGAGGCTTGTATTATGAATGTAGCTAGAGAAGCTTAGCGAGCTAAAGCTAACCCAGCATAACCAAAAGCTAGCAAGCTATTGTTGGACAGAGAGCTGTCAATCACGCTGCTCATTAGCCACACCCACACAGCTCTCAGATTGGGCTGATCAGCGGGTTTAAAGCTGTGTTTCATCAAATTTGTATCATATTTTTCATTCAAGCTTTAATATTTTGCTCTGTGCTCACTGGGATATTAACGTTGGCCTACTCATCGCTGTAAAGTCACTGTGGAAACGTACTGGTTTGTGAGTTGGTAACCGAACAGTTTTAGATTTGGTACCAAGCGCCTGCGGGACGCTGGGACATTGGGGTCATTGTTACCAGTCCTACTGTATCTCTGGAGTCTTAGAATGACAGATTGCTCTCTTTCTCTCCTCGTCATGGTCCTGCACGGAGCCTCCTTCACTCCTCCATTGTGTGGGGAAGAATAGAGAGTTGATTTGACTGACAGCTGCTTCTGAGTTACCCCATTGGCTTAAAGACACACGTGCTGATTGGTCATTCATGTTGTTCTTCATCTTCTTTTTGCAGCTGGTAACATTTTATTTAAGGCTGTAGCTGCTGAGGACTGAACTCAAGCCTTTCAATAACGTTGCACACAAATATTGATGAATTATAATCGCACTAATGTTCATTTGAAATGGATATATTTGCACTGTATTGTGTGATACTTATTTAAAGTGCTTTTTATTAGACTTACTAGTTTTGGCACGTTATGGGATGCATGCTGGTCTAGGCTGTTTTTACAGTTTTCTACATAGCAACCACAAAAAAAACATACTTAAAAATTTTGCCACTGCAAATCAAAAGCATTTTGGTCCACAACAATCACAAAAATTGGCTGGTGGTTCTGATAAAATGACTTAGAACAAGTAAAAAACTAAGAAATAAACTGAATAATCAAAACAATAATCTCAGAATGAGAAATATCAGACATTTAGACTAGATATAAAATTTTCTTGTCGTGTAGAAATGGGACCAAGCAAAACAACACTGCTGCTTAAGGATCTCTCTCTCTCTCTCTCTCTCTCTCTCTCCCTCTCTGTTTCTTCTCATAACAGCACTGTTACACACAGTCGTTTTTCTCCTCGTGCTCTGTGTGTGCGAGTATGTGTATGTGTGTGTTCAGTAACACTCTGCACTGTGATTCAGGATGTGTGTGTGTGTGTGTGTGTGTGTGTGTGGTGAGCTGAGCACTCACTGCTGTTATATAACAGCACACACACTACAGATAACTCCACTCTTCATCACATCCACTCACTCCAGCACAGAAAACCATACACCACCACCCTCAGCTCCTGTCTTCCTCACTTACTGTATATATAATATCATCACTCCATATCCAAAACAGTCATTTTACAGGAGAAGGAAAAAACTTTCTTAACTTACAATGAAAGTCAGTGTAAAAAGATTTTTCTCAAAGGAATTTTGGACCATTTCTGTTGGTCCCTGCATCATGAAATTCTAGAGTAATGGGCATTTTCACATTATGGAAAAAGTAAAAAAAAGAAAAGAAAAATTATATATATATATATATAATCCATATTTAGGCCTATGTATTAGTATGCAACATCAATATATGTAATATTTCTCATTATGAGACTGTTGTAAGAATATTGTATGATTATTTAATCTACTTCTAGACATTTTTACTTGTTTTAGGTCATTTCATCTAATGAAAGTCTCTTATTCCACTGGCAGATTATTTTTCTTGTTTGAGTAATAATGTAGATAATTTTGCTAAGTTCAAGAAACACTGCTTAAAGCAAATGATCTGTCAGTGGAATAAGACACTTTCGTAAGATAGAATTGCTTTAAACAAGTAAAAATGTTCAAAAATAAATTGAATAGTATGATATTCTTGCCACGGTCTCCTAATGAGAAATATTTGGATATATTCACAGATTGGAGCTGAAAAAACACAGTATGTACCATTATGAATTCCATGCTGGTCTAAGCTGATCTAAGCTGCTTTATGCAGGTCTAGTGCTGGTTTAGCTGGTCACCCAGTATGGTCATGCTGGTTGACCAGCATACCAGTATCCAAAACACAACATATGCTGGTTTTGCTGGTGACCAGTCACAGTGGTCTATGCTGGTGTATCTAGCGGGGCTTTTATGTGGCTCTAACTGTATTTTTATAAAGTCTGCTGGACTTTCTCTCCATCACCATCTCACAACTTTACTGCGCAAATTCTTTAATCAGCTGTTCATTTGTTTAGTGTGAGAAAACATATTTAACAGAAGATCACACAGAAACTTCAACAGCTGAATCTACTCTCAGCTGTGTGAGTCAGTGAGTCACTCTTTCCCTTTATTCCAGCTTCCATTCTTTTCAGGAGCCTCACTTTCAGCTCCTCAAAGAATCTGCAGACACACCTCCAAAGTTCAGTCTTAGAAGCTGGTTGATCATTTTCTGAAGTAATCAAACCCATTCAGTGGTGTTGAGGTCTGGACTCTGGGGTGGTCAGTCCATTGTTCAGCTTCTTTGTTTGATGTGTCCGTCTCCTTTTCTCAGTGAGGTTCTTCTTGAACCGCTACACATCCTTTCAGACCCACAGCGCTGAGTCGTCTTCTCACAGTGGAAGGATGGACAGAAACACCTGTGGATGTTTTCAGATCTGATCAGCTTGATTTTCTCCTCTCTCTCAGAGATGAAAGCTTTAAGTGCTGTTTATCTGATGGGGCAGTTTTGGGGTTGACCAGGTCTTCCAGGTGGTTGTTAGGAGGCACATTTTCGCTGCAGTTTGGTAAAGTTATTTTAAATCTAATATCTTCAGAAATATTTACTGAAAAAATTAATAACTTAAGTGCTGTTTTAGGCTGGAAACTCAATAAGTAAAGGGGGAGGGCAGACAGATTTATAGATTTTATTATTCTACTTATTTCTATATTATAACATTATCTTTTATTTTATAAGCGTTAAAAATCTTTTTAATTTTTCATCATTTTATACATAGCAACAATCAGTTTTGTGATCCACACAGATGCCAGTGCTTACATACAGCAAATACTAAATAAACAAACGACAGGAAAGCAAGCAAACATATTAGGATGTTATTAATAAAAGAAGGAACAGATTGCTGTGGCTGGTCTTATGATCATGTTTTTACATCCTTTCTTTGGGCTATTAACTGCATAACACTTCACTTGTACTGAACAGCAGGTTTCCTTAATGCTACCTTTATTCAGCTCCGCACGCTCACTCCCGTCTCTCGCCCCGGCGGTGATGCTGAGAGTGAGTGAATGATGAGGAATATACTGTAATACAGGAGGACAGTGAGTGCAGAGCAGTGTAATGTCCAGTGTTCTCTGCTTCTCGCTCAGACACTGATGTGATTGTGTAGAAATATGAGCTCCTGCTCGGGATAACTGCTGTAAAGTTGCAGTAACGAGGCTGTAGAGCTCTGACCTCCCCTCCCCGGACCGTAACAGTGTTACCTAATCAATATCATCCCTTAAACTGAGATGAGAGTTGGCACAAGAGAGAGATTGACCCAGAGAAACGGAGGTGGGGGAGGGGGTGGGGTGGGGTGGTTAGAGAGAGAGACCAGTGAGGGAGTGAGAGTGTAAGAGTGATCACTCTCTCTGAGATCTCCTCATCTGTTCATTTCTCGTGATTGTAAAAGGGGGTGAGTCCATATTCATTTTCTTCCTTGTGGACTCTAAAGTCACTGTAGCATTCCCCATAGTATTTATGCACTATATGGACAAAAGTATTGGGACACCTACACATCACACCTACAGGAGCTTTTATGACTCCCATTCTAAATCCATAGGCATTAATATGGAGTTGGTCCCCCTTTGCAGCTCTAACAGCTTCCACTCTTCTGGGAAGCTTCTACAAGATGTTGGAGAGTCTGTGGGAACCCAGACTCGTCCATCAGACTGACAGATGCTGCTCCAGAGTCCAGTGGTGGCGCTTTACACCACAACACACCCACCTACTTTTGATGTTGTGCATGGGCTTGTGCGCAGCTGCTCAGTCATGGACACCCATTTCGTGAAGCTCCTAACACACAGCTCTTGTGCTGATGTTGCTTCCAGAGGTGGTTTGGAGCTCATTAGCGAGTGATTCAACAGAGGATTGGCACTGCCCCTTCATGGCTGAGCTGTTGTTGCTTCTAGACGCTTCCATTTCACAATTATAGCACTTACGGTTGTCTAGGGCAGATCTAGCAGGACAGAAACTTCACAAGCTGACTTGTAGCAGAGGTGGCATCCTAGGCCAGTGCCATGTTTAAAGTCACTGTATGACCCATTATACTGCCAGTGTTTGTCTGTGGAGACTGCAAGCCTGTAAGCAATGGGTGTGGCTGAAACACCTGAACTCAATTATTAAGAGGTGTGTCCCAATACTATATAGTGTAGCATTCTTTAGTAGAATTTCCCCATTCCCCTATATATATATATTTTAATTGATCATTTTCCCTTAGCACTTTAACGTAGCACATTCCTATCTTGTGCCTCTACTCACTGGCCACCTTATAAGGTCTACTGTAGGACCACTGTAGACCAGATAGTACTTGGGTGGCGGACCACTCTCTGCACTGTAGATTGAGAACGGCTCCTTGGTCAGAAACTGACCATTGACAGAGGATGACTAACACAAACTGTGCACGAACAGATCGGCTAACTGTACACCAGCAAGGTGGGGCCACAAGGGCAGGGTTTCCAATAAAGTGGCCAAGGACTGTATAAGCATATTAGACTCAAAGATGCCGATGTGGTCGTGTTAACCATCTCGCCCATTCTCCACTGTGCAGGACGGAGTTTAAAGCTTACACAGACGTGAAGCCAGTGAAACTGATCCGGGCCAAGTCTCAGTACCAGCCTCCAGATGAAAAGACCAACCTGGAGACCAGCTATAGCGCCACCTTCAGGGGAGAGCAGGCAAAACTACAGCCTGCTGACAACAAGGCCCTGGAGAGGAGGAGAATACGGTCATTGTACAGCGAACCGTACATAGAGCCTAGCAAGGTAAGAGAAAATCTCCATTATTAATAATTAAGAATGAAACATTTTTGTGTCTGTGAATGTGTGTGTGTGTGTGTTTGTGTGTGATGCATTTAGTCCACAGCACAGTGAGAATGTTTATATGTGAGAGCATTTGTTGGCAGCGGTTCAGTAATCGATTGATAGTCCTAACTACACTGCCTGCATTATTTTGCTGTGGTTTGGCATTTTTCAAAAGTTTGTTGTGGTCCAGTCTCAGCGTTGCGCTGCTGCACTTTATCACTGCCTCATTTTTATGCTGCTGGGTAAACTGCTTATAGATTCTGCCTCCAGCTGCAGTTCAGCAGGACCTTTGGATAAAATACAGAATAATTCTCACTTTCACATTTGAATCTGTGTAAAAACTCAAGAGACACACTGGAAATGGAGTGACTGATTGGTGAGAATAGCCACCTGTGTCTTCCTGAAATGGTTGTCCATTGGTGTGACTGTTTATTGATACCGAGCCCTGCTGGTGACATCCCATATAAATAAAAATAATGTGTGGCCATTCCATACTAATGCGTGGGAACAAGATCCTAATGCGTGGCCACAACTTAGTAAGGCGTGGGAACGAGATCCTAATGCATGGCCATTATTTAGTAAGGCACGACCACGAGAAGAATAAGCCTTGACCACAGCTTAATAAGGCATGATCTCTTGGCCCCGACTTAATTATCTCGTTCCCACACCTTACTAAGTCATGGCCACGCATTATTTTTATTTATCTGGAATGTCACCAGCAAAGTTCTGTATCTTGACATGGTTGTCCATTGACATGATTGTTTTATTTACTCCGGAGTGATTGTCCATCGGGGTTCAGTTTAGTGCAGTTGTCCTTTGGTGTGAACATTGATATTTTCCTTGGAATGATTGTCCATTTGTGTGACTGTCTATTACTGTGATTGTCCATTTGTGTTCTCCTAGATTGATTTGCAATTGTCCATGGGTGTTATTGTCCATTGGTGTTGTTGTTGGGCTAATTGTCCACTAGTGTGATTGTCCACGAGTGTGAAAGGCTATTGGTCTGATGTTCATTAATTGTCCATTGGCGTGGTTGTCCATTTTCTGTCCTCTGGTGTTCTTTTGAAGTGACTGTCCATTGGTTTTGATTGTTCTGTTCCTCTTGGAGTGATTGTCCTGTGGTGTGACTGTCTATTGTTTTGATTGTTTGAGTGATTGTCCATTGGTGTCCTTGCCCCAAGGAGTGACTGCCCATTGGTGTATGACTGTCTGTTTGGAATATCCTGGGGGATGTCCACTGTCTGAGTGTCCATTGGTGTGATTGTCCGTTGGTGTGACTGCTCTCCTGAAGTGCTTGTCTATTGATATGATGTTCTATTGGAGTAAATGTCCTTTTCTGTTCTTCCTGAGTCATTGTCCATTCATGTAGTTATCCTTAGGTGTGATTGCCCATTACTGTTCGTCTTTGTATGATTGTCTATTTGTGATTTCTTATTTTTTTAATGGTCTGGTTGTCCATTGGTTTGAATGTCCATTTGTGTTCTCCCGGAGCGCTTGTCCATCAACAAGATTTTCCAATAGAGCATATTTTTCCTTAGTGTTCTCTTGATATGACTGTCTATTGCTGTGATTGTCCATTGGTATGACTGATCACTGGTGTAACTGTATAATAATGTTCTCCATGAGTGGTTGTCCATTGATGTCACTGTCCATTGGTGTGACTGTCCACTGGTGTGATTGTCCATTGACGTAACTTTCAGTTTATGTTCTTCTGGAGTGCTTGTCCATTGATGTCACTGTCCATTGGTGTGACTGTCCACTGGTGTGACTGTTCTCTGGACCAAAATGCTTGATTTTCCTCACCCAAACTTTAACACTCATCCATAGGTGGACAGAACAAGTGCTCCCCGATCCAAACCAAAAAAGGTCGCCTCCTCAACCACCTCCCAGGGCAAAGCGGTGAAGAAGTCCAAGGAGAAGCAGGCGGCCTCGGCGCGAGGCTCCAAAAAGAAAGGCTCGGAGAACCAGCCAGAGAGACGGCCGGCGCAGGGCGACAAGGAGAAAAGTAAAGAGATGAACAACAAACTGGCTGAGGCGAAAGAGTAAAAACCATTGCACTTCTACTTTCATTTACTCTCTTCCAGAAAGGGGTGAAAAGCCAACGAAGGCTGCAAAATATATCAATTAAGAGGTTCTCATTCGTGTCTGTAGCCCCCGCTCTCTTTCTCTCATCTGTCTTTCCTGCTGTCTTTTACTGTGTCCTTGTCTCCGTCACTCTGTCTCTGTATGTTTTTCCACTCTATCTCTCTCTCTCTCTGTATTCCTGCCCCTCCAGCTGTCTCCTTCATTTTCCCTCTCTCATCACTCTTGCTTTCCGCTCTCTCTCTTTCTCCATGTCTCATGTTCTCCTCTCCATGTGTGTTTCTCCATGTCTCTTGTTCTGCCCCCCCCTCCCTCTCTCTCTCTATCTCTCTCTCCCTGAGGTCGCTGGGTTGTTGTGGTTGTAAAATGTCAGGGTTTTCTCTCCACGCTGCCCCTCATCACGTGACCACCCATCATGTGGGGGCGTTTGCATTTGCTCCTGCTCCTCCATCCGCCTGCTCTCCTCGTCTCCACGGCGAGGTCTCCATGGCAACCGCCCCCCACCCTCCTTTGGTTGGCCAATGGATGATTCTCTAATGTTGCATGGAGCGATTGACTGTATGGTTTAGCTTCCATCTGCACACAGATCGCTGGGATGCATTTATCAAGGATTTCTAACAATGGGCCTCAACCTACATCAGACTGACTCTCTCAGATTGATCCTTTGTGATGAATTATGCAGCACATAGCCTAAAGAGAGAAGTGGTTCATTCCTTCCAAAAAACCTTTGATAAATGTGCAGCTTGGGTTTGCGATGTATTGATCTTTTGCCTGCTTTGCCTCTTGTGTACTTTTCCGTTTTCGCCGATGCCCCAAGTGATGAATATCTCACCGTTAGATCACTTTGGAGCTCTGTCAATATGTACCGTAATTATGGATTTGTTTATTTTGCACTGTGATTTTGTAAACTGCCCAACAACATGATAATTAGAGGAACTCTACTGACGCCTCATCATTTCCTCCAAATGACAGCAGGACTATTGAGTTACTCTGAAGGTCATTCCGTAATTCGGCCTCTCTGTTGCTAGGATAACCAACTAGATTATCGTAACATGATTATGCATTATGGGATGTACTGTAAATGTGTCTTTTGGAAAACATGATAGATTAGACATTAAATGTTGGATGTGTCATTATGTTAGATAATGGAATAAGAGACCATATGTTCTAAAAGTTATGCCACATGTAAATGTGTTTTGCCTTTTTTAAATATAAAGATGCTGCACCCTGCGGTTCACACTAGAACCCCCCCGTCCACCCCATTCACACTTCATCAACATGATTAGCCCTTAAGGGACAGATGGCCGATCTCAGCTCAAAATGCCCAGAGATTAGAATAAAAGAGCTGCTTGCTATTCACACAGACTCCATTTATTTATTATTAATGATTCTTTGATGTGTGGTTCCCCCCGTTTTGTTGGGCTGTGGTGGTCCTGTAGTGTGCTGGTGAATAATCCTTCCTCTTCCTCCCCTGACTGTTCTCTCTTTTGTGTTTTTGTCCTCGAGGTCCTGGTAAGTCGAATGCAGTCCGTGTGGAATGCTTTCCCTCTCTGTGTTTTACGCTGCATGGTTTGTTTTTGTTTTTTTTTTTGTTTCTTGTTAACCCAAAAACTACGGCCTTCTCTGAGGATACAGGTTTGTGGAGTGCAGTTTTACGTTTACTGGACAGCAAGAATATAAAATTCAAATAGGCCAAATTTCAGTGCTGAAAATATCACACAGTCTTTAGGGATCCTTGCGTTTCAGCCATGTGGTTCTCTGTTATGGCTGCCATATAAACAATGATGTGTTACTTTACTTTGGAAGGGAAGAAAAGGTTGGTATAGTGTAGTGAGTAACACCTCTGCCTTCTGCGCTGTAGTTCAATCCCCTACCTAGGCAGCACCCTACACTATACCAATAAGAGTCCTTGGGCAAGACTCCTAACACTACCTTCACCTACCTGTGTAAAATGATCACATTGTAAGTCGCTCTGGATAAGAGCGTCAGCCAAACACTGTAAATGTAAATGGTACCTTGACAAACTACACTGTTAGAAATAAAGGTTCTGTGCAGGAACAGTTTTCGTTGATCAAGGTACAAACAGTGAAAATGTTCCCTCAAGGGTCCAACAGTGGTTTTAAGGTCTGATTGTGAACCTTAAATAAGATTTTCCCGGTGAAAAGTTCGTATTTGTACCTTTTCATAACTGAATGTTTTAAACAGAACAGTAAAATAAAAGCCTGGAGACGAGACGGGGTGTGTGGAGTCAGTACAGCTTAGAACATATCATTTCAGTGGATTATGGTTCAGTTATGTTCCCTGACTAAAGGTACTGAGATGGACCCTTGAGGGACCCACCCCAGTGGCAAGAGGGGAACTGACCCAGAGACAGTTTAGTACCTTTATTTCTGAGAGTGTAGATAAATAAGCCGAGGTCATTTCCCAGAGCTAACATGATTCTCTCGGTATATTACGTTTTTATTCCACTAGCATGAAAGAAATGACGTCTCCAGCAGAGCATGCCAATAATAAACATGGCAACTCTGAGTGAAATCATCGCTGATCTTTTCCATATCTCATTTAAATTATTAGTGTAACAATGAGCATTTGATTAATGTGTAAAACATGACACGAAATTACGTCATTAGCATGACTCACTCTTGCCTCTTTCAAATGGCATAAATGCTGCTAGCTAGCGGAACGTACGACTGGCATCTGATTTATTTCAATTATGAACGCAATATATGCATAAATAATGATTCTGATGCAAAATGATACACTTAAATCTGAAGTATACTACATGTGCTTAATTAGCTAATGCCTAAATATGTAGCCAGCTACATTCATTGGTAGAAAAGAGAACATTTTGTGGAAACTGCCTCTAATTTCTGCGATCTACAGGCGAGCCTGTGAGTTCTTTCAGTAGAAAATGCCGATCATAGGCAGGTAAAGGTCGACGGACTTGTTCTAGGTAGTTTAAAGACAGTTAGCAAACTTGTTTAGGTTTGATCACATCAAAAGGAGGCTTATTGTCGTAGTTAGCCAGATTGTTCTGACAAATCTTGGAATTAGCTCAGGTTTATTCTGAATATATTCTGAGAGAGAGCAGCAGAATTCATGGAAATCTATTTGCAGATAGAAGGAAGGCATCGCATTAGCTTAACGCAGCTATTCGCCCCTTATAATGGCAGCGATTATACAGTGATGTCACCTGAAACGCAAGGATTGCCTCTAAACATGCAGCAGCAGTCAGCAACAGTACACTTGAAAAAGGTGATGTATTGGAGTTATTTGATTCAAATGTGCACATCGTTTCTAACAGTTATTGCCAAGTGTAAGTGAACTGAAAGACAAAGTTGACGTAATAGATTTTACTAATGTGGACATGATGTAGACGTTTGAATCACACCAATTCAATGCAACGTCAGTGTAACAGACCACTGCACAGTCAGTCTGTGATGAGTGAATCAGAGATGTTTTAGTTCCTGGGACTGAACTCATGCTCTGCATTTTGTGTCGTATCATGGCCATGGGCCACCCCTCTGCCAGCCCTCTGTCTGTCTCCACTCTCATCTGTTTTTGGGAATTGATGTCCCTCCTCCCTCTCCTCCCTCTCGTCCTCCACCTCCATTCCGGATGCTCCACAGCTCTGAGGTCTTTGTGTATGTCTGTCTGAATATTGTATCACAGGCTTGTGCTTCCAAGCCAGGTTTGGGGAAAAAAAACCCTCAGCTATCAGGTACTGTTCAGCGAAGGCCATTCCGTATTCACTGAAGGTCCGTTATTCCTCCAAAAAAAGTTACGGTGCATAATTTCTGGACTTCTTTAATGAACATGGGATGGATTTGCCCATCCTGGTTGTGGAATGCAAGCTTTCGGCCGCCAGGTTTGGGTTACCGGTTTATACCATTGGCTTCTAGCTGGCAGTTTTAGGCCAGTATCCTTGGGCTTGCAGTTTGGGCCAGCAGCTTCGGGCCACTGACTTGGACCACCAATTTAGGGCTAGCAATTTTCAGCCATTGGCTTCGAACTACAAGTTTGAGGTCATTGGCTTTCGGCTGCCTGTTTTTGGCCACAACATGTTTTTGGGCCTTTGGTATTTGACCTGGTTGTTTTAGGCCAATGACTTGGGCTGGCAGTTTTGGGCCACTGGCTTCAAATTGTCAGCTTTGTGCCATTGGTTTCAGACCACCAGTCTCAGGCTACTGGCCTTGGGCCACAAACTATGAGCTAAATTTTTTTTCCTGTTGGTTTTGGGCCACTGAATTTGGGTCGCCAATTCTGGGCCACTCGTTTCAGATTTAACACCATTGGCTCTGGGCTGCCAGCTTTGGGCCTCCACTGGCTTTGAATTGCCAATTCTTTGTCACTGGCTTCAAGTTGCTAGCTTTGTGCCCCTGGTTTCGGACCACCGATTTGAGGCCACTCTCTGCTCTTGCTGAGCATGGTGGAGCATGAGGGCCTTTTCATGAACATTTTGCAGCCTTTGGTGGGATTTGCATTACAGTAATATTGACAAAACACATGGAGGAAGGGGGTGGTGCGGCATCCAAAAAGACAGACAAGGGGTTCGGGTGGGGTCGTACATGTTCATTCAACATTAAACATGCGTGCTCAGCACTGGTGCTATCTGTACTTCCATGCATTATTCAAAAAGTGGAAAGAAAAAAAACAGAGTAGGCTGAAGTGGTGCGATGGGGCAGCAAATATAACCTGTGATCATGTGATTTGTGCTTTCTCTCTGCTTGCTCATATTTATCGAAAACTATTGTTAATAAATGCAAACGCAGAAACAGAAGTGTCTTGGTTCGTTTTGTTTGAGAGGTGGGAGGGTTTTGGGAGCCGTAGGCGAACGGTAGGTGAAATATGAATGTGTGTCGTGTCTCTTTTTGTCTTGGTGTCCGTCTCACTGTGGTTTTTGTTTGTCGTTTGTGAAAAAAGTCCACATGGAAGAGAAGTCCACCTGTCTAATGCAGTAGAGTAGAGCTGGTTTATGGTTGGTTTCACACGTGTTTGTTCACACGTTCACTGGAAATGGTTCTGGCATCCTTTCGCACCGTGCATATTGCTGAGTTCGGAAATATATTCCTTTGCATCACTGATTCCAATATATTTCGGCCGAGTCACCAAAGTGTCCCTGCAATATGCACAGGCAAGTAAAGGATGCCAAGCACCTTATTCCAAAATCACCTGTCTCTCTGTTTCAAACATTAAGCTTAAAGGAACCCAAGACTTGTAGATATACAATCAGATGTAGTCAGATTATGAGGGGGAAATGTTTAGTTGGAACAGCACTCCAGTAAGTTGACGTGTATTAATTTCTATGTGGTTTCACTGTGATTTGATTGGCTTTTTAAATGTGGTTTGTTTGATTTTCCGATCTGTGAGATTTCCCGATGACTTTGTGCAATTGAAATTCTCCTTCTCGTTCATTTGAAGGGTTGTGCTAAAACAGTACCACTACATTCAGCTCTGCCAACCCATCCGAGATATTGGTTGGGTGCAGACGCTAAAGCAACACCTGTGGCGCTGTGCACTACCTGACCCAAGGTAACCCACCTGAGATCGGCACGACTTTAGAAGTTAACCCTTAGAAGCCATTTTATTTAGTTATTATTGTCATTTCTCTGTACTATTTGAGTTATTTCATTGTTGCATACACTCACATTTCACTTCAACAGATTTGAGTTAGCATTTTTAAATTTTAGACATTTTAATAATGCGTTTACAAGCACTCAATAATCCAATCATAATTGGATTTCTGCATCCGATTATTCAAATGTTCATGTAAACACCATACTCTGATCTAAAAGATCCAATTAAGAAATCAGATAAAGAGGATTTTAGCTCAATAATCAGATTTCTCAGTGCACGTAAACTCTTACTCTGATTTCTTTCGGATTTCTCAGTCTGAGCATGTGTGAAAACAGACGGCGGTACCGGTAATAAGCAAGCAGCGTCGCCACGAGACGCAGCAAAACACTTTTGGAGCGACACTGAAACCAAACATGGATTTCAATATTTTTCATCTTCTAGATGATGTTTGTTCATATTTTCAGGTCAAGCGGCGCAATGTTTTAAAAAAAAGCCGCTTATGAAGTTTGAGTTTTACGTTACGTTTATATCACGTCTTCTGTGAGTTTGGTTGGTTGTAAAGTAGAAATCTGATTACTGTCTGACTCATTTAGACCCAGATTTTTCCCGTTATCTGATTACTCAAGCGCATGTACAAGTGTTGATTGGATGACTGACAAAATCTGATTTTCTGCAGTTATCAGACTATTAAGTGCATGTAAACACACTCAATGTCTAAAAATGAAAAAACAACACAATAACTTTTCATCAAGTTCAAATCCTCTTTAAATATCTCCTCTTATACTTGCAAACACAGACGTGGAATGGATTGAAAGTTTAGCATCTGCACTTTCCACACAATTTCTCCACTTGTTTCAATGAACTACTAGTCAGAAATAATTCACATAGAACTTCTAAGGGTTAAGCTTTTACCTGCACTCTAGATTGGACAGCTTCCATAGCTCAGGTTAGCACCAAGGGCTAATTTTCATAGGGTTTTAGATTATACTGGGAAACAAAAACACCTTCTCATGAAGTACTGTTATTCATGCTTTGGTTTGATTCCCCATGTGTTCTCTTCCATATGGAAAGCGTAGGGTCATAGGGGAGGCGTGTGGCACTGTTGGCTCATTCGTATTGTCTTTTTTTAAAGGTAATGTTACATATCAAATGGTTCTTCATCCTTTTTTTCCTAAAGGATGCCAAGGACTCGTTTTGTCTTTAGTGTATTTCATGTATGGATGTGAGCTGCTGTAGGATTTCAGTCTCGTTACAGTGGCTTGGGTACAGAAGTAGGTCAAGGCAATTCGAACGGCTTGTAGTGAATGCATAATTTTCAACCTTGAGTTTGTCGCTCGCTCACAGAATGTAGTAACAGTACGATTTGAGCCAAGACTGATATTCTGAATAATATCTTTTGATGTTCTGCTGATTTATTGCATGTCGCTGGCGTACAGGCCCACGTCAATAATAGATGAAAGCATTTTTTACAGGAAACAGCTGATATTTGTACACTTGATGTCAAGCTAGCTGTTGCTTTGTCAGTAACTACAAGTGTTTAGTGTATAATTGAGTGTATTATGTGCCGTATTTGTCTTCTTACCTGCTGTGTTTGTGTCTGTGTTGTAATTTCACTTTATCTAAAAAAGCTCTTCTGTTTTGTCTTGAACAACCTGACAGTCAAAAAGCAGTCTAACATTTAAAAAATCCAATCTTATAAACATTGTACTTTCCCATCGTGCAAATTTAAAGCTTGCTTCAATGTAGCACTAAACAGCTTTCGATCCCTTTAATGGTTCCTTTTATATACACCGATCAGGCATAACATTATGACATTCTCATTCTCAGCACTGCAGTGACACTGACGTGGTGGTGGTGTGTTAGTGTGTGTTGTGCTGGTGCGAGTGGATCAGACACAGCAGTGCTGCTGGAGTTTTTAAACACTGTGTCCACTCACTGTCCACTTTATTAGACACTCCTACCTTGTCAGTCCACCTTATAGATGTAAAGTCAGAGACGATAGATCATCTGCTGCTGCACAGTTTGTGTCGGTCATCCTCTAGTCCTTCATCAGTGGTCACAGGACGCTGCCCACAGGACGCAGTTGGCTGGATATTTTTGGTTGGTGGACTATTCTCAGTCCAGCAGTGACACTGAGGTGTTTAAAAACTCCAGCAGCACTGCTGTGTCTGATCCACTCAGACCAGCACAACACACACTAACACACCACCACCACGTCAGTGTCACTGCAGTGCTGAGAATGATCCACCACCCAAATAGTACCTGCTCTGTGGGGGTCCTGTGGGGGTCCTGACTACTGAAGAACAGGGTAACATAGTATGCAGAGAAACAGATGGACTACAGTCTGTAACTGTAGAACTACAGAGTGAAACTATACGGTCAGTGGAGCTGATAAAATGGACAATGAGCGTAGAAACAAGGAGGTGGTCAGAATGTTATGCCTGATCATTGTATATTGTGCTATAATATTGTAGCATTCACCGCTATTAAAGAGGCACAAAGCTCACTGCACAATTCGCTGTTCCTCATTAACAGCTGTAGTTTGCCACAGCTATGCCATACACAAAGCTAGTTTGGCTAACAGTTAGCTCTAGCATTAGCTCAAGTCTGCACACATTTGCCTTTAAGCCCTGACTGACTCTTGCTGTTCTAACACAGAACTGCAGTGGAGCCGACACCCAGAATAAACATGTAGAATATTTCTTGAACATGCTACAGTATAAATACCCTAATGATGAAGAGCCTGAAGCACACAGAGACTGTTTCTCCACTCTCAGCGTGTTCAAGACGTTCTCTCTGTTTCACTACTGTTTTTAACATGCCCTCGTCACGATTTCCCCTTGTAGGAATCCAGGAAGGCCTCTTAAGCACCGTTCCATTACCATTTAAATGGCGTTTGGAAGAGTGAGGCACTGAGTCCACATAAATCTAGATCCAGAACCTGCTCAGAAATCATTGCAATATGACATCATTCCTTTTTTTCAGAAAAATAGGGTCAGAGATACGTCAGATACACAAAATATTTAATATTTAAAATGTTCAATTTGCTACGTACAAACCGGTCTTTATGTAGTTTACCTGTTACATGACTGCCGATGTAACTTGCCGATGTAAGTTAAGGGCTACACCACTAGCAGCAACAACAAAGAAGAGCAATGCACCACAGTTTTCATGCTATACCTCTTCAGCTTCAGCTGAACTTTATGCACATTATTGTTGGACTAGTTCACTGCAGCTAGCCTAGCTAACAGTACGCGTCCACTTGCAACTTTGGTTTGTGCAAATGACCTATTGCATTTAGCCGACAGGGTTTTTCGTCACCAATGCTGAACAAAACATTGAACTTTTTCAGACGGTCAGAGGGACAAAAATGGGCATCTGTCTATTTAAACCCTGCTAAAAAAACAGCGTAGACCAGGATTAAGGTTAACAACTTCCACTGCTGGTCACCAGCAAAAACACCTTATGTTGTGTTTTGTATGCTGGTGTTTCAACTGGGTGACCAGCGACTGAGGCCAAAAATTAATATATTGAGGCCACAAGTTACTATATTGAGGCTACACATTAATATATTGAGGCTACAAATTAATATATAGAGGTCAAGAGTTAATATATTGAGACCACAAGATAATACATTGAGGCCAGAAGTTAATATATTGAGGCCAGGAGTTAATATATTGAGGCCACAAGTTAATATCTTGAGGTTACAAATTATTTTATTCAGAGACCACAAGTTAATAAATTGAGGCTACAAATGATTTTATATGGAGGCCACAAGTTAATAAATTGATGCATTAGTTAACATATTGAGGCTACGAGTTAATATATTGAGGCCACAAGTGAATATATTGAGGCTATAAATTAATATATCATGACAACAAGCTAATTTATTGATGCCACAAGTTAATGTATTGAGGCCAGGAGTTAGTATATTGAGGCTACATGAATGATGCCTTCTGAAAAATGATTGTGGCACAAAAAGTGCAGGTAGACACGCCGTGATGGACAGTGCGTTTCACTTCTCACTGAGAGGGGCCACATGGGTACACGGGGGCTACACACTTCCAAACGAGGCGACGGTAGGAAGGGCATGTTAAACACAGAGGCAAAGGTCAGCTGCACCCTTAAGATTAAACATCTCATCTCCTGTCTTCTTCTTCTCCTTCTTCTTCTCTCTCTCTTCCTTCCTCGGCCCTGTAACACCGCTAGAGAGTCTGAGTCTGCCGTGGGACGAGTCAGTGATTATTATTCCCCGGGTACCTCTGGAAGAGAGTCAGAGCCACTGGTGGAACGACCAGAACCACGCAGCAAGGCAGTAGTGCGATTCGCGCCGGACGTCAAATATTGACACTGACCAGCAACGGGAGGAAGAGTGGTTAAAGACAAAAAATCCAGTTTACACACTTCCCCCAAATGCAGCCAGTCAGCCATGATGTTTGGAGCTTTGATTCTTTAGTTTTAGCGCTGGAGCTAAGAGGCTAATGTAGCTAACAAGTAATGGAAGCTTATGGACAACCAGTTAGCATCAAGCTAACTACATCATACATTTGCCTCAAAGCGTGTAGAGTTGTTCAGTAATCTCTAATCCCAGACAGTAAGAGGATAGCGGGCCATCGTTGGCCCACTGACAGCAAAACTGGTGGTCTACCAGCTTTTTGCTCACCATTCTCCAGGTGGCTCACTGGTGGTTAAGCCACTTTTCAGTGCTCATTTTCCACTCAAAGTCCAATTTCCGTATTTTTCCTTCATTTCCTTCTTTCGTTATCCTTTGTAAATTAGATTAGTACATCATTTTAATCCAGCACAGTGTCAGCAACAATTTCAACATGATTACTTCATATCAGGCCTCTCAGTTGTTTGTAACAATTGTCTTAGTTTACTTTCCAAAATAAAAGGCTATGTGCAGGAAAAATCTGTTTGAGGAGAATAAAAAAAGGTTAGATCTTGTATGCAGGACATAATCTGGGTGGTCCAGGTGGTCCTGGGTGGGCCAACAGTGGCAAACAGTCAGCGGTTTGCCTACCTTATCAAGCCAGCAGACCAACATATGCTAGCTTATCTGGGAAATAGATTTGATTATGTGGTTTCTGACACTGTATAGCCGCATTTGAGCTGGATTAGTTTTAGCTGGGGAGGGGCTGTACTTCGTGTGATTATCATTGAGATCCCTAATTATAATCCCGGATGAATCTGCACTGTTCGTAGTTTATACAAGTGTGCTAAGTAATAATTCCAGAGAGAATCACTAATAGCAGTCCTGTTCAAATCGACATCACAGCCATGCTGTAATGTAATAAAAACCCGGTAATAGAGAATGGCTCCATTTTTTGCTGCATGCAGACAAGGCTAACAGCTGAAATGGAGCTTGATTTAAACCCAGTTCTTTAATCCTCAAGCCCATAAGCAGACAATAAGCAGACACAACAATTTGGTGTATATTCCCTCCCTTACACTATGATTATGCACCATCATTTGGAGAACGCACTTCACCCCAACATTGAAATGAGATGTAAAGTCTCCTCACACTGCAAAAAAAGTATCTTATCAAGTAAAATGTCTTCAATCTAGTCGATATATCCAGTATTTCTCCTGTTGAGACTGTTGTTATGCTTATTTTAAGATTATCTAACCTACTTCCAAACATTTTTACTTGTTTTCAGTAATTTTATTTAGTAAAATTATCTCACTATACTGGCAGATAATTTTGTTTCTGTGAGATAATTCTACTTAATAAAATTACTAAAAATTTAGAAATTTACAAATTTAGAAATAATCTTATAATAAGTGTGCAAACATAACAAGTGTGCTTCAAAATAAGAAATATTAGATATATCGACTAGAATTAAGATAATTTCACTCAACAAGATACTATTTTTTGCAGTGCACTCGTCCACTACTGCGTTTTCTTTCCTTTTTTTTTATTTTTGACGCCATATTTGCCGTTTAGCCACACAGCGAGTTGTCATTGTGTAGACGTGTAGCTCCTGTCGCGTAATGCTGACATAAACGTCCGCTCAATGATGTTTCAATCCGGGTGATTTGGGGTGATTTGGGGTAATTACACAGATCCTCTATCCCGTACTAAACGGCCAGTCAAATCTCGCACAGATTCCAAGACCAGAACTTCTCTGTTGATGCTAATCCAGCTCCAATAGGGCTATACAATGCAAAACATGGTATCTTGTCAAATAAAATTATCTTTAACATACGTCAATAAATCTAATATTTCTCCTGTTGAGATTATTGTAAGCTTATTTTAAGATTATCTAACTTATTTCCAAACATTTTTTACTTGTTTTCAGTAATTTTATTTAGTAAAATTATCTCACTATACTGGCAGATAATGTTGCTTATTTTAAGAAATGAGCTTGAAACCAGCAAACAACACCTAAAACAAGTAAATAAAGTCTAGAAATAAGATAGATAATCTTATAATAAGTGCACAACCATCTCAAAATGGGAAATATTAGATATATTGACAAGATTTGAGATCATTTCACTTGACAAGAGACTATCTTTTGCAGTGTTGACACACTGTTATCTGTAAACATGGACTAAAGCACAGACAAAATTCAGGCTTGGAGATGCTGCTACTGTTTTTAGCTCTGCTAACGTACTTTAGTCCATGTTTAGATATAACAGAGTGTCTTAAAGTGTCAGAAACTGCATAAACAGATGATTTAACAGCTCCAAATGGTTTGAGGCGATGATTTTAGCCCAGCAGCCCTGCTAGCAAAACCAGCATAGACTAGCATATGTTTTGTTTTGGATGCTAGTATGCTAGTCAACCAGCATGATTATGCTAGGTGACCAGCTAAACCAGACCAGCACAAGACCAGCTTAGACCAGCATGGAA